CACCAGGACGCCCCGTGGTCGGCTCTGGGCCCTGCAGCACCGAGTGCGGGCAGCGCGCTCAGCTCTGTGCCACCCACTGCACGTCCCCCAGCCTCCGTCTTTCAGGGTCATCTGCACACACACGTGAGCGTGCGCGCCCTTCTGGCACCCGGTGCCACACCGCCGTGCTGAAACACTGCCTACCCGGTGCCAACCCCAGGCACCCCAGGCCACACCACACCTCCAAACGTCTCGGGAGGGAAGCTTCACGTCACCACACCTGCATACACAATACAGAAAATCCAAGTTCATGGCACACCTGGAGGAAGAACAAAAGCCCCGCCTTAGAATTCAATCCATTTCCTGTCGCCAAGAACGCTGTGGTGGGCGAGTGCCTAGCCGAGGAGCCTCACCAGTCTCTCAATAGAGACGGGCTGCAGCTTCAGAGGGGCTCCGCTCCTCCTCTTCCCACCTGAAGCTATTTGGAGTCTCCTTCAGGCTCAATCTGGAAATCCAGGGGCCAGCCCTGTGGCACAGCAGGTAAAGCTGCTGCCTGCATCCCATGTGGGCGCTGGTCCTAGTCCTGGCTGCTCCACTTCCGATCCAGCTCCCTGCCATGGCCTGGAAAAGCAGTAGGAGATGGCCCAAGTTTGGGCCCCTGCACCCACTTAGGAGACCAGGAGGAGCAACTGGCTCCTGGCTTCGGATCAGCACAGCTCCAGCCGTTGCAGCCATTTGGGGAGAGAACCAGCAGATGGAAGACTTCCCTCTCCCTCTCTCTGCCTCCCTGTAACTTTGCCTTTCAAATAAATAAATCTTATTTAAAAAAAAGAATCTGAGAGCCGGCGCCGTGGCTCAATAGGCTAATCCTCCACCTTGCGGTGCCGGCAAACCGGGTTCTAGTCCCGGTTGGGGCGCCGGATTCTGTCCCGGTTGCCCCTCTTCCAGGCCAGCTCTCTGCTATGGCCAGGGAGTGCAGTGGAGGATGGCCCAGGTGCTTGGGCCCTGCACCCCATGGGAGACCAGGAAAAGCACCTGGCTCCTGGCTCCTGCCAGGATCAGCGCGGTGCGCCGGCTGAAGCAGCGGCCATTGGAGGGTGAACCAGCGGCAAAGGAAGACCTTTCTCTCTCTGTCTCTCTCTCTCACTGTCCACTCTGCCTGTCAAAAAAAAAAAAAAAGAATCTGAAAAGTGGCTCCTGTGCGGCTGGGCTGGAGTGCTCCAGGGCCCTGTGCTCCACGGAGCAGACCTGGGAGGTGGGGCTGCTCAGCACCGGCACGGCAGCTGTGAGGCCGCACCTGAAGAACCACAGGTGCAGTGCGCCTGGGGCAGCAGAGCACGGCCCTGCAGGGTGCCCCCACCACGAGGCTCGCAGCCACCCGTGGCCGTGCCGGGGAACGGGGAGCAGTGCTCAGCAGACAGCGCCACGGCCCTGCTCAGAGTCCCGCAGAGTGAGACGATCTGTCCCAGCACCCGAGTGGCCGGGGAGCTCACGTAGACATCTGTGACTTACGATATTTCCAGCATCTGAGGCCCAAAGTTAATAAAACATGAACTGGGGCCAGCGCTGTGGCCTAGTGGGTTAAGCTGCTGCCTGCAGTGCCAGCATCCCATATGGGTGCTGGTTCAAATCCTGGCTGCTCCACTTTCAATTCAGCTCTCGGTTGTGGCCTGGGAAAGCAGAGGAAGAGGGCGCAAGTCCTTGGGCCCCTGCACCTGTGTGGGAGACCCGGAAGAAGCTCCTGGCTCCTGGCTTCAGATGGGCGCCACTTGGTCCGTTGCAGCCATCTGGGGAGTGAGCCAACGGAAGGAAGACACTTCTCCCTCTCTCTCTCTCTCTCTCTCTCTCTCTCTCTGCCTCTGCTTCTCTGTATCATTGCCTTTCAAATAAAATAAATCTTAAAAAAAAAATTAACTAAGTCTTCACTGTTTTTAGAGACTTTTTGACGCTTCATCACTGCACCGTGTTCACAGAGCAGTGGCCTCTGGAGCAGACACGGTCTCACTACCGCCAGGCCCCGCTCACCTGCTCTCCCTGGAATCTCCAGTGAACAGCTGCAGCTGTTGGCAACTCATACTTCTTGTTTTCAGAACCAATACTGAAAATGCCAGATTTAATACCTCTTTACGGCCGGCGCCGCGGCTCAATAGGCTAATCCTCCACCTAGCGGCGCCGGCACACCGGGTTCTAGTCCCATTCGGGGCGCCGGATTCTGTCCCGGTTGCCCCTCTTCCAGGCCGGCTCTCTGCCGTGGCCAGGGAGTGCAGTGGAGGATGGCCCAAGTGCTTGGGCCCTGCACCCCATGGGAGACCAGGATAAGTACCTGGCTCCTGCCTTCGGATCAGCGCATATGGAGTATTATACTACTTGCTAGTTGTACGGAGTATTTTACTACTTGTTAGCACATATGGAGCATTCTACTACTGCTAGTACAGACAGTATTCTACTACTGCCAGTACGGACAGAGTATTCTATTGCTAGTATGGTCAGAGCATTCTACTACTGCTAGTACAGACAGTATTCTACTACTGCCAGTACGGACAGAGTATTCTATTGCTAGTATGGTCAGAGCATTCTACTACTTGCTAGTAAGGATGAAGTATTCTACTGCTAGTATGGTTGGAGCATCTACTACTGCTAGTACGGACGGAGTATTCTACTACTGCTAGTATGGCATGGAGTATTCTACTACTTGCTAGTAGAACCATTCCTGCTGCCCGTCGAGGGGACACGGGGACCCTGCGGCTAGAAAAGAGCCCGTCCCCGAGGGTGGCTCTAGCACCAGACACCCAGAACTCCAAGAACACAGCACAGCAGTCAGTGTGAGCGCGGCACCCACCCCAACGAGACGGATGTCTCCACAACCAGGCAGTGGGAGAATTCACACGCCACAGCAGCCAGGGTCAGGGGGCACTGGAAACCGAGCCCACAAACGACAGACTCAGCCACAGAGCCACAGTGGGAGGCCCAGGGCCAGGCGTCCCACCACGCAGGTGGACCCCAGGTCCCACCATGGCTGGGGCGCCCTCGGAGCTGTCCCGTGGAGCAGGTGCCCACGCGCCTCGGTGCTCTGCATCCACTGAGACAGACATGCTCAGCGTGCTCCTAACAGGAGATCCTCCCGCACACGTCTCAGGGCCCCGACATCGGGCCGCTAACTCACTGGAACAGACCTGCGCTCCAGCCAACGTGCACACACACACGCGGATGCTTGTGTGTTTTTAACATGACTCGGATTCTCCAGGAACTTGACTACCAGGTAAGCGGAACATCGCACTCTGCCTAGTTTGAAATTTCATCCAGAGTTGCCACCATGCTGGAAAGCCCGTGGACGGCCGGGGTCAGCCTGCAGGGACCGCACCGAGACAGGGCGCCTGGCTTACTCCCTGTCAGCCACGGGCTTGCTGTAATATGTTATCTTCCTTGGGGCCGGCACTGTGGTGCAGCGGGTTAAAGCCCGGCCTGCAGGGCCGGCATCACATTAGGGTGTCAGCTGGAGTCCCAGGTGCTCCACTTCTGGTCCAGCCCCCTGCTGGTGCACCTCGGGGGAGAATACCCCAAGTGCTTGGGCCCCTGCACCCACGTGGGAGACCTGGAGGAAGCCCCTGGCTTCAAATCGGCTCAGCTCTGGCCACTGTGGCCACTTGGGGAGCCAACCAGTGGATGGAAGACCTCTCTTTCTTTATCTCTACCTTTCTCTTAACTCTCAAATAAATAAATCTTTTTGTAAAAAAAAAAAAAAAAAAAAATGTTATCTTACTACACACTATTGTCCTTTTACTTTTACAATACAGTTTGGGCATCCTGTTAATTTTTAAATTACAAATCTTATTTTCTAAGCATCGTATTTTACAATAAGAGAACATCACAAAAATTACCCAACAAAAAAGGCACTGAGTCCGGTGAGTCTCCTCAGCAAACCTAATCAAGTGTCCACGCAAAGAACCAGCTCACTGACGTCACTGCCTGTGTCAGAGGGTACTGAGACACCCGATTCTGCCGCTACCAGCTGGGGATCGGGTAGGGGCCAGGTAGTGAGCGTCTACAGGAAGCATGAGTAAGTACGCCAGCACAACTGGTGTCATTAGGAGTCACTGGGCTTGTATTGCAGCATCCCAAAACCACAGCACAGAGGCACTCCTGCCTCTCCCCGTGTACCTGAGGGACCACAGAGCACAGGGACAGGGGCAGCGAGGCCACTGCGGTGCCTGCAGGCGGGCTGTGGCTCCCACTCCTCTGCGTCCACCTGTCTCCCCCAGTTCCCAAACTACTGTCCTCCGCACTCAGGGCAGCAGGCTGCCACCCCTCCAGAGTGCTCCAGAGAGCAGCACTGCGTGAAGAGTCTCCCAGCTCCCGGGCCCCAAGAGGAACACAGACATATTTCATATTTTGCCCACCACCACAAACACAGCCACCTTCTAGCCTGCCCACGCCCACCGGACTGAGGGGCACCACAGCCACCTTCTAGCCTGCCCACACCCACCGGGCTGAGGGGCACTGCCACCCACAGTGCGAGCCGGAGCTCCTCGCCATGCTGAAGCACCCAGCACAGCAGGCCAGAGGCTCCTCGGCTCCTCCCGCGCAACCAAACTCCACCAGCTTCGCCTCAGGCAGTGCACTGCCCACTGCACAGGCCTCCAAGGCTAGGCTCTGAAGACAGCTTTAAAAATAGGCTCAATAAAAACCACAGGCTTGAATGGAAAGTTTGATATACTGGAGAGAAATTTATAAACACCACCTATGAAGAAAAAACACCGAAAAGATCTGCCAGATGGAGCAGGAAAGAGGAAAGAAGCCAACGTCCATCTTCAAAGACTTGGTTCCAGAGCAAAGGCGTGGGGTCTGGTTTGTGTCACAGAGAAAAACGAGTGCCAGCAAGACGCCCTGCGCTCGGTTTCGGTCTGCCTACAACCAGCGCCAGGAAGTGCCGAGGCCCAGCTGTCCACAGCACGTGGAGCAGGCGCAGGGGAGCCCCCTCCCCCAGGGCTGTGCGGGGGCCGCCACGCTGAGTCTGCACTTACCATCGCACTTTGTTGCAGGTCTGGGTGGCCCCGAGCGGGGAGCCCGCCACCATGGGGACCTGGATGGGGCTGTGCTGCTTGTTGGTGACCAGGTCCAGCTTTTCTTCCAGGGACTTGCAAGTGGCCTCCAGAGCCTGCAGCTTGGCTTCGATGCTGTCCAGTCGTAGGCATATTGTCTGGTTAATGGAGTACAGGAAGGACTGGAAGTGAAAACAGAACGGCTTCAGAAAGGAGGCCTGAATGCAAGGAGGAGGCTCCCGGGAGCACCGGGGAGCCGTGTTCTGTTCCAGGTGCAGCTCCTCCCACAGCGCACCACTGCACCGCGACTCCCTCACGCACACGCCAGGAACATCTGCGTAAATAACGCAACCCCTGCCTCTGGAACACGGCCATCAACCACAGTCTGACTTCTATGTGCAGCTGCAATTCTTAGCTATGCACAAACTGTGTAAGAAAGCATGTCTTTAGCATGTTCTATCAAGTGGTGTGTTCACACTGAAAGCTGCCCACGTCTCGCCAATGATGACAGATCACACCTGCCACCGGCCTGGGAACCCCCAGCTCATTCACCCCACGAACTCGCCCTGGGCTTCCGGAGTTGCTGCATTGCAAGCTCGCCACCTGGTGGTGATGGGGAGAGCGGCCTCACGTTTGCTCGCCATGACTGAGTCCAACCCCAGGTAAACACCGAGAGCAGGGACACACAAGACTCCAAACGCACAAAACGTCCCCTGCCTCAAAGCACCCAGGGAGGGGCCGCACTCCCCAGCCGCCATCCTACGGGGGTCTCCAGGGAAGGATCCTGCCGGAATTCTACACTGCTGGCCAGCAGCACCCGACCTGAGTCAGGATCCGACTCGTCCAACACTTAAGAGCCAGGAGCCCACCGTGGCCGTGCCGGGCGGGAAGGCACAGGTGTGTGTGAGAGCTGCTCAGAGCCAGCGTGGACCTGACCTCCAGCAGCGGACTCTGCTCGGACCTGAGAGGAATCTGCAGCTATCAAAGCATAGCAACGTCACGCACCACGGTGTGCGGCCGGCACCAAACCCTGGGAGACGGCAGGGAGGGCAGCATCCTGGGGGAGGAAACCTCACATCACCCAGCAACTCACTTCTGTCTCAGTCCGCTGCTTCCTAAGGGCAAGATTCATCCAGAGGGTGAGGCAAGCACACAGTGATCCACTGACCACTCCCAGGATGTGAGAGAGGGAGAATAAGCCACAGGGGCAGGGGACACCTGGGGTGCTGGCACGCAGCCACGGTGGCCACAAGGCCAATGCCAGTTGTGCCACAGCACGGACATCACCCTGAAATGCTCAACTCTTGACAGAAGACCACCGACAACCCCACTGAACTCTTGACAGAAGACCACCGATAACCCCACTGAACTCTTGACAGAAGACCACCGATAACCCCACTGAACTCTTGACAGAAGACCACTGACAACCCCACTATTGTTTTGTAATTTGAAGACATGAAACACTCGTCTTCTGTGTTCTTTTTAAAGATTTATTTATCTGAAAGTCAGAGTTACAGAGTGGGAGAGGTAGAGAGACAGTGAGATCTTCCATCTGCTGGTTCACTCCCCAGATCAACTACAACAGCCAGCACTGGGCCAGGCCGAAGCCAGGAGTTTCATTTGGGTCTCCATGTGAGTACAGGGGCCCAAGCAGTTGGGCCGTCTTCCACTGCTTTCCCAGGTGCATTAGCAGGGAGTTGGAACAGAAGTGGAACAGCCAGGACTCAAACCAGCATCCTTAGGGGATGCCGGCAATGCAGGTGGCACTTTGCCCACTGCACCACAACGCCAGCCCCTTCTGTATTCTTTAAACACAGTAATACCATATTATTTTAATTCTGAATTAGAAATAATTCCATCTGGGGTTTGGGTGAAAATCATTGTTATATACAAACAAAACAGCTTATCAAACAAGACAATAAGGAATGAAGAGTGGGGGACTGCTGAGCAAGCTTCCATACACGACGGGCGCTACCCAGAGACCACTTGACTCTAACAGTTCTGCAAGTCTGCAGGCAAGCACTCCAACAGGGCTCAGGACTGCTCGCCAGCAGCGTCCAACCGCAGCCCAGCTCTCACGTCACTGAGGCCAGCGCTGGCGCAGGGCCACGTCACAGCCCCACGCTTGCATTAATGTCTTCTGTGACAAAATTACAATCACTTTTTGTTTTAAAACATGGCAGAGCGGTGGTACTAATGCAGCCACTGTCCAGCCTCTGGTCTGAGGCTGGAACTGCACAGGTGTCACTCAATCCCCTGCCTGTGGGCAAGCTTACGCCGCTTCCTCTAGCTGACGTGAGTGTGCGCTGCCGGACCCGCTGCCTAACGGAGAAACTGTGCCAGGGCTCTCCTGTGCACAGTCCGTGCGCTTCTCACACGTGCTGACACTTCCTGCCACGACTCGGCAAATACGGAACCAAAGACCCAGAGATAGCCCACTGAGTGCTGCCCAGGAACCCACCTAGGAGACCTCAGAGCGCAGCCGACGTCATGCCAGGCACAGTCACCAGTGATGGAAACAGCCCTGTGTCTAGCAAGGCTCCTCACCTGTGGACGTTTCCTCGCCACACTCCTCAAGGGAACAAGGGGTTTCGGGCTCTCTTTTGTGGGGGCTTAAACAAAACAGTATGTTCCGATCCAACCCCAAGACCCAGAAACGTGGCCTCATCTGGAAAAGGGGTCTGCAGATCTAAGTCAGCGAGACCTTCTGGACCAGCGTGGCCCTGAACTCAAGTTCAAGTCCGAGAGCAGACAAGCAGGCAGTCCCAGGGCAGCAGGGGGAAGCCGCGTCACAGCAGGCAGGCCGGGCACTGCAGCCCCGAGCCCAGGACGCCCGGGGCCACCAGAGCTGCGGGAGGCACAGCAGGCTCCTGCCCGAGCCTCCGGAGTGGGAGAAGAGCCCCAGTGGGTGGCAATCGGCGGCTGAGCCGCACAGAGTCAGAGACGGGTGTCTCACCTTTATGGAGGGATCTTGGCAACTGACGGCGAGTCGCTGGCGTTTCAAGGCAGGCTCGTCCTCGTCCGCCACTACGTGGTTCTCCAGAACAACTGAAATCAATGACAAACACTTCAACTTGCTGCCTCAGAGTCCCGTTAACATTAGTAAGCAACACTGACAGCTTACCACCGAATAAGGATCGTGCTTTTTTTTTTAAAGTTTAAACTTAAAATGTGCACTCAAGCAGAGGAAGGGAGGAGGGGAGCCCTCCTCCTCCCAGGAGCACCTGCGGTCCCAGGGGAGCTACGCTGCTGCCGCGACGCCGGAACAGCCGGCTTGTCCGGGCGGTCTCCAGGTGGCCTGTACAGCTCCAGGGCCAGCCTGCAGCCAACAACAGTGATTTCGCCCAGCTGGAAATGCTGTCAGCGGCTGATTTCTAAATCAAAACCCACTCTGAGGTGGTGACACCGGGTCGTGATCTGAGCCACGCCCACACGACTTCCTCCCCATCAGCAGCTCCCCAACGCCAGGCCTGCCGCAGGGTGTTGGCCACCTTCCCTCCATGTACACTTGGCTACAAACACGGCATCAGAGAGAACCAAAGACCAGGACCGCCCACGATCGACCCATCGCTGCCGGCCACACTCTGGGGGGACATGCCCAACCCTGGGCCCCACAACAGGTCGTTCTGAAAGACAGGACACGTTGGCAGTGGAGGATGGCCCACGTCCTTGGGCCCTGCACCCGCGTGGGAGACCGGGAAGAAGCTCCTGGCTTCGGATTGGCACAGCTCCGGCCATTGTGGCCAACTGGGAAGTGTACCATCAGATGAAGACCTCCTTCTCTCTCTTTGCCTCTCCTCTATGTATAACTCTTTCAAATAAATAAATAAATCTGAAAAAAGAAAAAAAAAGAAAGACAGAGCTTCACAGTCAACGTTTTTATCAAGTTGTATCCCAGGAGTTTCTCTGTCACTTTGCTACAGTTTCGCCCCGGAAGTAATCAGTGGTAACGGGTGTGCCTCCCTCACTCCCCTCCACATGTTCACACGGAAGTGAACCTGACACCCACAGCACACACGCAGAGATGAACACCAGACACACACACACGTGCTCAGAGACAAACCTGACACCCACTGCACATGCACACAGACCAGAACCTGACACACGCGACACACACCTGCACATGCACACAGACCAGAACCTGACACACGCGACACACACCTGCACAGACCTGCACACGCGAAGTTCAACATCACCTAAGCAAGAGATGTCTGCACCCTTCTGCCTCACTCTGCAACAGGACACGAGAGCCCTGCTCCCCAGCGGCTCCAACTCACTGCCTCACCGCAACAACTCGAGCCGTGTATCTCTTCTGTAGCAATAAGGGCACCTGCGATGTAACAGTACCAGCGCGGACATGCACAGGTGTGAGCATGCCTGCTGGGGGCCACACAGCCTGGTCTGCTTTCAAATGCACCTGACACAGGCAGGATGAGCCACTGGGACCTTCCTCCGACCACCAACTGCCCATCCCTCAACCAGGAGAATTAGTCCACCTTCCATCCAGCCCCCGTCACAGGCCACCTTGTTTAAGAGCCAGAACTCACATCTGTTCACCCTGTGACACCAAGTCACAGAGCCCACAGAACAGACCACACCTCCCAGCCCCTTACAACAGGGCTGCCCACACATATGGCTGGCACTCAGGGAACCCAAGTGCCTGGGTCTCTGTGGTCCCCCCATCAAAGTGATGCCACGTGTGTGTTCCAAGGAAGATCTCAACAGGGGAATGAGCGCCAGGGCCTGCAGTCTGTGCAGGCCAGAAAATCCACTGTGAAACTGCAAGTTACAGACGTGGCGGCTCCAGCAGAAAGGTCTCACAGGGCCTGGCCAGAGCTATAAAATCTGATCTCCCTGGAGGCGGACGTCACAGCCGAGGACCAATATGCAGGAGAAACACTGCTTGGGCACAGCATGGCTGTGGTGAAGTCGTGTCAGCCTCCTGCAATGCCGGCATCCCATGTGGGCGCCGGTTCAAGTCCCAGCTGCTCCACTTCCAACCCAGCTCCCTGCTATGGCCTGGGAAAGCAGTAGAAGATGGCCCAAGTGCTTGGGCCCCTGCACCTATGTGGGAGACCTGGAAGAAGCTCCTGGCTCCTGTCTGGCCCAGCTCTGGCAGTTACAGCCATTTAGGGAGTGAACTAGCACATGGAAGATCTCTTTCTCTCTCTGTCTTTCAAAAGATAGGTAAATAATGGGCTGGTGCCGCGGCTCACTAGGCTAATCCTCCACCTTGTGGCGCCGGCACACCAGGTTCTAGTCCCGGTTCGGGGCGCCAGATTCTGTCCCAGGTTGCCCCTCTTCCAGGCCAGCTCTCTGCTGTGGCCAGGGAGTGCAGTGGAGGATGGCCCAAGTGCTTGGGCCCTGCACCCCATGGGAGACCAGGATAAGTACCTGGCTCCTGCCATCGGATCAGCGCGGTGCGCCGGCCGCGGCGGCCATTGGAAGGTGAACCAACGGCAAAAGGAAGACTTTTCTCTCTGTCTCTCTCTCACTCACTGTCCACTCTGCCTGTCAAAAAAAAAAAAAAAAAAAAAAAGATAAGTAAATAAATATTTGTTAAAAAAAAAAAATAGAGGGGGGAGACACTGCTCCCATGGGCTCTGCTACCACGCAGGGAATCCTCACTGGCAGGGACAACCCCCTCCTCTCACTGAAACCTTTGCAAATGAACTTTTGTTCCACCAAATTTAAAAAGGGAAAACCAAAACCCACGCCTGCAGGGGTCTGTGGTCATTCAGTCTACTTACTCCACAGGAAGCTGGAGACTGAACCAGGACCACCAGGGGACCCCACCATCATCATTTTAGCCTTCCATTTGTTGAAAGAAAAAAAGCCAGAGAGACTGGGTGCCTGCGGGGCCACGTGGCTCCTCAGTGAGCCATGCCTGCACCTTGCAGCGGAAGCACTGAGAGGCAGCCACGCGGGAGACAGGGGCTCAGGCTGCCTGCCAACAGCAACGGCAACCGACACTCGCTGTCTCCTTGGGGTTCGGCTACACTTCTTCACACAGGTCACACGGGCTCTTACACTGTTCCTACACCTTGTACACACTGGTCCTGTTCTGTTACATTTTGTACACAACAGGTTTTATAATTCTGCCACACTCTGTACACACTGGTTTTTATAATTCTGTACTTTACACACTGGCTTTTATAATTTTATATGCATCACTTTTAGAATTATACGAAAGAATGCCTGTTCATCTTAAAGCCATCCCAGCCTACTGGACTGTGAAGGCACAATCGCACTTCTGTACAACCACATGGTCCATACGTGCGAAACCAGAAGAACCCGGAGCTCTTTGGGTTTGATGGAAACAAGAACAGCTGGCAGGCTACAACGCCAACCACGGAGATCAGCCACGCCGCTGGGACCACGGAGAACTTTTGCTACTTCCACTTTCGTGGCCGCCTCCTCAGATGTCTGTGAGGTTCCTATTTTACAGAAGAGCACAACACACTGTGGATAAGATGTGCACGACACCGTGGCGCGCACCCTGGACATGTTCTTGTGGCTCAGGACGCAAGCTCTGGGCTGGGCAGGCCTCAGCGGCTCTGCTCACGTCCGCCTGTTAACCAACAAAGGACCATAGTTCCCACTCACTGAAGAAACAGACGGAACCAGGTCAAGAGTAGAAATGGTGGGGCGGGCGCTGTGGCGCAGTAGGTTAAGCACCCGCCTGCATAGCTGGCATCCCACATGGGTGCCGGTTCATGTCCCGGCTGCTCCGCTTCTGATCCAGCTCTCTGCTGTGGCCTGGGAAAGCAGTAGAAGACGGCCCACGTGCTTGGGCCCCTGCACCCACGTGGGAGACCCCGAAGAAGCTCCTGGCTTCAGATCTCTGGCACTGCAGCCATTTGGGAAGTGAACCAGCGAATGGAAGACCTCTCTTTGTATGTCTCTCCCTCTCTTTCTCTCTGTAACTCTGTCTCTCAAATAAATAAATAAAATCTTTTTAAAAAAATTTTCTAAGAATGTTGTGACGTGTCCACTGTACATATATTAGACACATAGAAAGGCTGAAAATTAATGAGCTAAACATCAATCTCAAGAATTGGAAATGGGGTAGAAAAATACATCCAGATAAGAGACTGAGTGACTGAGTGAACAGAGGTCAGAATCGGCCTCTCCAAGCGCTCTGTGGGCTGCGGCCCGTGCAGGGAGCACTCGCAGGCCTGACTCCCCGTCTGTGGGCTGCGGCCCATGCAGAGAGCACTCACAGGCCTGACTCCCCGTCTGTGGGCTGTGGCCCATGCAGGGAGCACTCGCAGGCCTGACTCCCCGTCTGTGGGCTGCGGCCCATGCAGGGAGCACTCGCAGGCCTGACTCCCCGTCTGTGGGCTGCGGCCCATGCAGAGAGCACTCACAGGCCTGACTCCCCGTCTGTGGGCTGTGGCCCATGCAGAGAGCACTCGCAGGCCTGACTCCCCGTCTGTGGGCTGTGGCCCGTGCAGGGAGCACTCGCAGGCCTGACTCCCCGTCTGTGGGCTGTGGCCCGTGCAGAGAGCACTCGCAGGCCTGACTCCCCGTCTGTGGGCTGCGGCCCGTGCAGAGAGCACTCGCAGGCCTGACTCCCCGTCTGTGGGCTGCGGCCCATGCAGAGAGCACTCGCAGGCCTGACTCCCCGTCTGTGGGCTGTGGCCCGTGCAGGGAGCACTCGCAGGCCTGACTCCCCGTCTGTGGGCTGCGGCCCATGCAGAGAGCACTCGCAGGCCTGACTCCCCGTCTGTGGGCTGTGGCCCGTGCAGGGAGCACTCGCAGGCCTGACTGCCTGTCTGTGGGCTGCGGCCCGTGCAGAGAGCACTCGCAGGCCTGACTCCCCGTCTGTGGGCTGCGGCCCGTGCAGGGAGCACTCGCAGGCCTGCCTGCCCGTCTGTGGGCTGCGGCCCATGCAGGGAGCACTCGCAGGCCTGACTGCCCGTCTCTGTGGGCTGCGGCCCGTGCAGGGAGCACTCGCAGGCCTGACTGCCCGTCTCTGTGGGCTGCGGCCCGTGCAGGGAGCACTCGCAGGCCTGACTGCCTGCTCTGTGGGCTGCGGCCCGTGCAGGGAGCACTCACAGGCCTGACTGCCCGTCTCTGTGGGCTGCGGCCCGTGCAGGGAGCACTCGCAGGCCTGACTGCCCGCTCTGTGGGCTGCGGCCCGTGCAGGGAGCACTCGCAGGCCTGACTCCCCGTCTGTGGGCTGCGGCCCATGCAGGGAGCACTCGCAGGCCTGACTCCCCGTCTGTGGGCTGCGGCCCGTGCAGAGAGCACTCGCAGGCCTGACTGCCTGTCTGTGGGCTGCGGCCCGTGCAGGGAGCACTCGCAGGCCTGACTGCCTGTCTGTGGGCTGCGGCCCGTGCAGGGAGCACTCGCAGGCCTGACTGCCTGCTCTGTGGGCTGCGGCCCATGCAGGGAGCACTCGCAGGCCTGACTGCCTGCTCTGTGGGCTGCGGCCCGTGCAGGGAGCACTCCCAGGCCTGACTCCCAGGTCTGGGTGGCTGGGTATTTTCGGGGAAATGCTGTTCTGTGCTCATTCACCTCCCCACGTGGTCAAGGGTTCCACACAGCAGTGCTCCTCAGGAACAACCCCGGCCCTGAGGCAAGCCCACCAGCCCTGCGGCACAGCTTGCCGACTTCCGGGGACAGCTTGTTCCCAAACCATTCCCAGCGCACACCTCTTCCACACCACGGGCGATTGCCACATGCAGTTGTTCAATTAACACCAAATACAAGTTAAGACATCACACTTCCTTAGGAGACTGCTAAAAATTCTCTTTTCTGAGGAGAAAAGCTGTCAGCATATCAATCCCACCATTGCAGAAAGAACAGTAACCAGGCAACCCACACTCTCAGTGCCCCCACTGTATGGACCCGTCACTTCAAACTGGAGTGAGACAGTGCAGCACATCTAAGACTTCTTAAGGCAGAAAAAGAAGACGTCCCTTAAGAAATCGTTTACGGGCTGGTGTGGTAGCCTAGCAGGTTAAGCAACTGCCTGCAGTGCCGGCCTCCCATATGTGCGCAGGTTTGAGCCCTGGCTGCTCCACTCCGATCCAGCTCCCTGCTGGTGCACCTGGGAAAACACCGGAGGACGACCCAAGTCCTGAGCCCGGAGGACGACCCAAGTCCTGAGCCCCTGCAACCACACAGGAGACCCAGATGAAGCTGCTGGTTCCTGACTTCAGCCTGCCCAGCCAAGGCCACTGTGCCCATTTGGGGAGTGGACCAGCGGACAGAAGATGGATCTCTCTCTCTCCCTCCCTCTCTCTGTAACTCTGTCTTTCAAATAACTAAAATAAATGTTTTAAAAAAATCTTTTAAAAATAGTACGTGCAGACAAAGGTTCTTCACAGATGAAACACCTGAAATTTAGGGGTTTACTTCTCAAAGGTCACCTCAGAATAAACAGGCACAGCGCAGGGAAGGCCGCCCTCCGGCCGCCTGGGAGCCCCAGCACAGCGCGGGGAAGGCCGCCCTCCGGCCGCCCGGGAGCCCCGGCACAGTGCGGGTAGGCCGTCCTCCGGCCGCCCGGGAGCCCCGGCACAGCGCAGGTAGGCTGTCCTCCGGCCGCCTGGGAGCCCCGGCACAGCGTGGGGAAGGCCGTCCTCCGCCCGCCCTGGAGCCCCGGCACAGCGCAGGTAGGCTGTCCTCCGGCCGCCTGTGGGAGAGCCTGTTCACGGAGCCTCCCCAGAGAACCACCTGCCGCCCTGCTGAACACTACTCAGGGAAGTGCTGCCACCGCGAGCCTGCCCCAAAACACGTGCCAAGATACAAGGGCGAGAATCTTTGCCACAGGGTAGCACAGAAAATAAAATCGAGGGGGCTGGCACTCTGGCATAGAGGGCAAAGCTGCCACCTGCAGTGCTGGCATCCCATATGGGCGCCGGTTCAAGATCCGGCTGCTCCACTTCCGATCCAGCTCTCTGCTGTGGCCTGGGAAAGCAACAGAAATTGGCCCAAGTGCTTAGGCCCTGCACCCACGTGGGAGAGCTGGAAGATGCTCCTGGCTTCAGATCTGTGCAGCTCCAGCCACTGTGGCCAACTGGGGAGTGAGCCAGCGATGGAAGATCGATCGATCGATCTCTCTCTCTCTCTCTCTCTCCTCCTTCTCTCTCCCCTCTCTCTCTCTCTCTCTCTCTGTAACTCTGACTTTCAAATAAATAAATAAATCCTTAGGGAAAAAAAAGAAGAAAATCAGGGTAGTATATCAAAGAAATATATATAAAATACAGGGCAGCATATAAAAGAAAACCACACAAACGGCCATTTCAGGAGGAGGTCCAGTAGGTCAGGGTGCACCTGTAGATGACGAGCATGGACCTGAGAGAAAAGGGGGCCGGCGCTGTGGCGCAGCGGGTTAACGCCCTGGCCTGAAGCGCTGGCGTCCCACATGGGCGCTGGTTCGAGACCTGGCTGCTCCATTTCCAATCCAGCTCTCTGCTATGGCCTGGGACAGTAGTAGAAGATGGCCCAAGTCCTTGGGCCCCCGTACCCACGTGGGAGACCCAGAAGAAGCTCCTGGCTCTGGATCAGCACAGCTCCGGCCATTGTGGTCAATTGGGGAGTGAACCATCGGATGGAAGACCGCTCTCTCTCTCTCTCTCTCTGCCTCTCCTCTCTCTGTGTAACTCTGACTTTCAAATAAAATAAATAAGTCTTTAAAAAAAAAAAAAGAAGGAGAGTGAGCATTCAGCCCCATGGCTGAGACACCCACACCCCACACTAGCTCCTGGGCTCCAACTCCTGACTCCACTTTGCTGCCAACACAGACCCAGGGAGGCAGCGGCGAAGGCTCCAGCAGCTGGGTTCCTGCCACCCGTGTCGGAGGCCTGGACTGCGATCCTGGCTCCCGGCTGCAGCACCTGGCTGGGGGCTGTCTGTCTCTCTGACAGACACCTGCTCCTGCATGGCAAGGTTCCCACCTCACACCTCACAAGTGCAATGTCTACAGGCCGCTCTGTAGGGTTACAGCCTCCGGACACGGGAGGCCACGGGAGGCCACGGGAGGCGGATGCGTGTGCACGCCGGCCCACACGGCGGCGCTGCCAGTGGGTGGCAGGAGCGCAGAGAGGACGTGCTGTGCGGCTGCACCCGGGGAGCAGTGCAGACAGGAGGGCGGACACGGCCCCAGACCGAAGGCCAGCGGCACTTGCGCTTCTGCTTGATGTAAACCAAAGAAACACTGGGCGGCTTTGGGCTGTAGGGAGCAGAGTCACTCTCACTGCTGTCCCACGGCTCGTACCTGGGTGGTCGGGACTCAGGTCTTCCACTGCAATCTGCACCACATCCGCCAGGTCCTGTTCCGACATCATCCAGAACCGCAGAGTGGGGCAGGCAAAGCCCGGGAAGCCAGCGACAGAGGGCCGGGGCTGTCACCTGCAGACAGGAGCACAGGAAGCAGGAGGGAAAGTGAGTGGCGACACCTGTGCAACGCAGCCCCACCAACACCCTCTCGCACCCCACGCCTCTCACCAAGCTCAACCTTCCTAAGGCGGCCTGGAAACGCCCCCGCCAACAGTCTCCAGGCCGCGCTGACCTCCACGGCGACGTCCCGCCCCACTGCCCAAATTCTTCCCGACAGATCGTCCCAGCCAGGCCACCCTCCACTGCACAGCTGCTCCCCACAGGGGGGCAGGGCAGCAGCTCCCACACGCTTTCCTGAGTCCCGCAGCCGTGGCCACGAGCGGTCCCTGTGCCGTCCAGAGCACGGTGCCGGGGACACTTGGATTGGGCTGCTGAGATCTTTTCCAGAGGGAAACCGAGGCCACGTCATTCAAACTGTGGTCTACTGACACTGACCTACACAGAGTATTCAAAACAAGGACGCCCTGGAGAAGTCAGGAATCAATGCCACATAATATCCTTATCACCATAATCCTTATCATAATACCCTTACACTTCCCTTTTAACTACTGATGAAAATGACGAAGTGAAGCTCGCCTTCCCAGAACCCCAGCACACACCCTCTGAACCCAGGACCCGTGCACACACCAGCCCAGCTCCAGGCACCCGTGTCCCCGGCCACGACTCCCACTGGCAGGGGAAAGTGCTATCTTCCGACCACGTAGCTCCAGCTGCCAACGTAGCGAAACCCCGTCAGTGGGCGGGTTCCCGCAGGCTCACGCCTCACACGCACGCCTGTCCTGCAGATGAGGCGCACACTCCTCTCCTTGCTGCCCAGAGTGGGTCCTGGCGAAACGGCAGCAGCTCCATCGTTTCGCGGCAACACTGTCTGCGGGAGGGGGAGCCAAGCGCGCTGTCTCAAGCCCTTCTTTCTGGGGTTTTACAGGAAGGCACCACCAAACGTGTGATCAAACTTCACACAGATCAGATCAATTTACGGAGCATCTGTCATCCTTCTTTATAGAAGGCACCGGGACTGGCGCTGTGGCGTAGTGGGTTAAGCCGCTGCTTGTGGTGCCAGCATCCCATACGGGTGCTGGTTTGAGTCCCAGCTGTTCCACTTCTGATCCAGCTCTCTGCTATGGTCTGGGAAAGCAGTGGAAGATGACCCAAGTCCTTGTGTCCCGCACCCACGTGGGAGACCTGGAAGAAGCTCTGGACTCCTGGCTTCGGATCGGCTCAGCTCCGGCCGTTATGGCGAAATGGGGAGTGAACCAGCGGATGGAAGACCTCTCTCGCTCTGTGCCTCTCCTTCTCTCTCTTTGAAACTGTGTAACTCTGACTTTCAAATAAATGAAGAAGAAGAAGAAGAAAGAAGAAGAAAGAAGAAAGAAGAAAGAAGAAAGAAGAAGAGAAAG